TTGGTACTACTTTGGAACAATAAAAAACTGGTTCCCGAGACAAGAATTACAAATTTCAGCCAAAGATTATAATGGAGACATTTCTGAATCATTTATAACATTGCGTCATGCAGTCACATGTAGTCCATGTTTGGAGGTCAAGGTTTAGAAATGCTCCTGCAGGCCTGCCAGAAATCAATGTCACACCAAAAGGTGTGCATGTTATAAGAATAATGTTCTCTGCACTTCAAAATGTCATCAAAGTATATCATGCATCAACAAATGATAGATATCTCAAAAAATATTTGACTTTCCTTTAATATTCAATACAAAGTTTATTTTCAACTGATTAAGTCTGTTGTTAGTCTGATTGAGGAACACTTTTTAAGTAGGTACCTATTTAATGTTTATAAACATTTTTTAATTTAATTTCTCTTTTGCATGGCGGTTGTCGGGTTGTATTACCTATTTCTAAATATTTTTAGGTATTTAAATGTTACGACGTTTGGTTTGTTATCTTATTTTATTACCAAAGGGCTGTGATTGAATGTGCCATTTTTAGAATTTTTGACGATTATTAATGTTTGTCATATTTAATAACAAATAATAGGTAACTATTCTTTGAAAAACTATTGACGTTCCTATTAATATAAGTTTGTTTCAAGATAAGAGTGATTATTTAGTTACACTTTATTATTTAAATAACTCATTTTTAATGTTATCATTATTTTTAACATTTTCATTTAATTTAGCTGTTGTGACGTGCCGTTTTTACGTGATGGTGTGTTAACATTTTATTAAACCTTACTGTTAAACATTTTATGCCCAAATAGGGTTTTGTATTTCTCTCAAAGAATGTGATTTAGGCAATTTGGAATTTTAAAAAATAATGTTAAGTTAGAGCTTATAACAATAATTATTTTCAATTTTAATAAACATTTTAATTCTTAATTTATTTTTATTTGCTAAAACCTTGGACACCCTACATATCGAAGCTAAAGTATCTGGCCAAATCGCCAACGTTAAGTGTTGAACGATATGCCCTGTGTTGGATGGCCAGATAGATGGGGAGATCGTTGCTGGGCATATCTCGATCTGGCCAATCTAACGATAAGCCCACGACATATCCAATGCAAAAGAATACATGTCCACTTCCAAGTGCGACGTACAATATCTCATATGAAGTTACAACAATACAGCTATGAAAACATCTATTAGTTAAAAATAAGAATAACCATACCTCCATTCCGTCATTTTACACTCGTATAACAATTGAAAACGTTAATTATACTACGCATTAAAAATTGTGTATATATATCACATAGATTAAGTTAGATTTTAATTCTTTCTAATCTATCTACAACATACAGCTAATATTATTGTGAAGTTATAATAACTTTTACCTAGGTTCATACTTTAAACTGAAAATACATATAAATAATGAATTTATATAATTCAATTACCTTGTATGTTGTCAATTATTTGAGGTAATAAAAAAGTGTAGTTTCCGGCACGTAAAATGGCTCATTACAGACTTTACACGAACAATCGAATAGTTAAGGTCATATTAAATAGTTAGGATAATTTTCTTCCGTTTCTTCGAACTAATATAACGTATGTCATTTGAATAGTATTCGTGTAGTAAAGTATACATACTGCGTGGAAAATTCGTTTGAGCTGGAAAAAATTGCCAAGATCACTAAACAAATTATGTTTGTATTAAACTACAGAGTTCGTCTCAGGCTTTTACTAATAGCCATAATCTTGCCAAAATACGCGCCCACGTGAATACAATGGAATGATAAGATCGATAGATTTGTCATAAACACTATACAAACATTACAATAAATAAGAGAACGAACTTAATTACATACTTACATAGCTGAAGGATATGATATTTAAATATTAGTATAATATGTATTGTATTGTCATTTCATTATTTTACTCGCTAGTCTAAATTCTATCTATTTGTTTAAGGTGACTAAATTATTGTTCATTTGTTTGTATAAAATATTCATGGGCTAGCAATAAAGCAAAATTAATAAAATAAGAACACCACAGAGTAGTAATAAGTGTGGAAGTGAATAGTGTACCACAAGTATAAAATGTGTATAGATAACAAATAGAAATAGCGGTAATCATCGCGGCGACACTGGGTCTAAAGTTTGACAGAAGGCCGTTCCAATGTCATTAATTCTACTATATATGTAGTCTGTTGATACCACACATAGCGGTTTGTGATCGCCAATTCAATTAGGGACGTAATTTAAATTCGGAACCATACTTTATAATAAGAATTAGACCACAATTGCAAAACAAAATTTTCATACAAAATAAATTATACTTGATTTTATAAGCTAAAGAAGGCCTTCATAGCTTGCAAATAAAGCAAGCAATAGGCACGAAATTTTAGGCACACACTATTTATAATCCAGTCACATTTATGGTTAAAGTTGTAACACAGAAGTCTTGTGTACGTTGTTGTTGTTGGTCATCTTTATCTAAAGTTGGGGTATAGCGATAAAGACTATGAACTTAAAAGTGTACATGAGCCTATTTCCAATTATCTGTGCCGAAACATATCATGAAAACGGTACAATTTCTTATTCTTATTCGCTTTGGTAGCAGGCCTACACTGTTGTTTCTACAGGAATTCAGATGCCAATATTAAGTGATTTGATATAATGAGATTAGTTTTACATAGTATGCTTATAGGCTTTTACGCCTAATATATTTAATTATGTCTTTACTACCAAGATATACCTATAGTAATAAAACCCGAATTTAAGCTTAAGAATAATGCGCATAGACAAGCCAAATTAACACGATTCCATTGGTTATAAAATACTTAACTATCTTCTATATACAAACATCAGTTACAATTTTATATGCATATTATCTAGAAATTTCTACAGCTCTCTTTCAGCTATATTCCCAACGGGCCTTGATTCCCTCTTGTCTCGTCTTGGACCTAATATATAAATTCAATAAGTTTTACTAATTGTATCGGACCTATAAAACAACTACCTATAAATGCGTGAAAATAAACCCCATCTTAATATCTAAAACGTCTAATATTTGTAGTTACATAAGGCTTTTTTGAACTCCTACGATGATCTGAAACAAAAAATATTGAGTCATTATTAAGGCTGTTAACACCTAAGTACTGAGTTAAAGCCTGGGAGTATAATAGAAGATGAAGTTTCGTGTGTCTCTGAGTAGAGAAGATCTTCACCGACGGGCTGTTTACCTACTTGTCTAAAAAGAAAAATGATGAAGGAAACAAAGACAAAAAAGTAGGGCGGTTTTTTAATTCTAACAAATATTTCAATTTCTACGCGGGCGAATCCGTCCCAGAGTTGTTACATGAGGAAAAATAATTTAATCAATTACGATGTAAGCAGTGTAATACCATTAATTTGCGATTCATAATTTTAATGAATGTACCGACGTTTCTTGGCGAAACTCATTTCAGCACTTAGAAATATTTTTATTAAAGTTCAAAGTGTCTTTATTAATTATACTAATTGGATTATGTGAATGTCACAAGTTTAATACACTACTACACACTAAATAATTAAAACAAATTATTAATCACGCTTAAATTGTATTTTTGATGTGAAACATCTATAGTCGCACGTAAAACCGATTTCTGGCGGGGCGACGCATGCCGTGGCGACGCGTCGCCACGCTATATGATGGTATATATACAGTCTATATGCAGTAGTGTGTACGGTGTGTGTATTTCGAAGTCACTGATTAAACGAATTAAGTAGTCACGATTTGAAATAAATTCGTAAATTTTTGTATTTAATGAAAATAAATGTTTATTCAATAAATAGTCATTGTTATCTGGAAAAAAAATCGTAATATTTTATTTTATCATTATGACATATTTACTATTTAGTTCCTATCACAATCTGTTCTTTTCTGCATATAACTTTTACAAAATAATGTCGATGTTTCACATCTGCCAGGCGTCCGGTGACAGCTCACATTTTTTTTTTAAATTAATTTGTATGTTTTAATTTTACTTGTGACCATGTAGTTTACAAAAAGTGCTATAGTGCCTAAGTTATATAACTTAGGCACTATAGCATGTACGTAGGAAATCATTTTGAAAAAAATTCCTATGAAGGAAGGTTCCATCCTCATGATTCAAAATCAGGTTCTACTTATGATGACACAAATATGAAAAGCTTGAATTTATAACCGACACAATTTCATACTAATATACTCATGAAACTGTGAAAATCATTTGTCGGTAATCATAAATCAACCCAAACTTTCAACCATAAAATACAGATATTGGAAATTCGTTTGTTTTAATATTGACAAATTATATTAATTACGTTCAAATTACATTTGACTTGCAAATGGTTATCTATAATTAATTAAACGCGTGAATGGTTTTATGTGATTCACATATATTTCGTGGCGTAAAAAAAATGGATTCCTGAGTACGAATCACTTTGAAATAATTGTTTTAAGTCAACACAGTAGGCAGATCACTATTTTGAGAAAAATTTTCACTTATAATACCACAAGAGTATCTGGCATTTCCCTCAAGGTTCCCTGCAAACAAATAAAGTCGTCAAGTTTTTCAGGTTAAAAAATCATTTAACCTGAAAAACTTGACTCCTTCATTTGTTTGCAACGAACCTATCGGGAAATACCCGATAATTTTGAAGCTCGTGTGGTATTCGGGGGATTATTTTTCCGACCCAAATGTCGGCCAATAGAATTGCACCATGAGACGAAATGTACAGTTAACAAATAAGAATTTCATAATGAATAAAACAACTACTTAATACTTTTTTTGAAGCAACTACCAGAGAAAATTTTCAAAAAATTATCAGTATAATACCATGTAGGTTGTACCACGTATGGACGTCGAATGGTGCAATTCTATTGGTCGATATTTGGGTCGGAAAAATAATCACGGAAATACATACAGAAAGCTGAGAATACATAGCGCCACTTTTAAGTAATATTTTGGTATAACTTACTTTCCACTTATACTAAACAACGTGAATTGGACACCCATCCTTCCTAGCATTTTCAAGCGGCGGTGATATAACAACATATGTATCTCTCTCCTTTTGGTAATCATCACCTGCGAACAGCGGTGGGGGAGGAATGACGTCACTTTCCACTTCTTCTTGCGTCACTTCCTGTCTCTTCCTCCCCGGCATATAATTCATGATACATGTAACAGCGATGAGGAATAAGAAGAATACAAATACGACGTCAAACATGATGAGGAAGTTGACCATTACAAGTTGCATCACGCCAAGACATTACAATCTGCGGGTGACTTCAGGAGATATCCTGAATGCCGATACTTGGTCTCGAGTCTGGAACAAATATTAAAATGAGATGGAATAAATAATTTTTGTCATTATTAATATGCTTTATAAACAGTTCATTGATTTATGGATTGTCTGTCCCGTTGAGAAAAAAAATTAAAAAATTGACATAGACCGGACAATTTTTTTTTTTAAAAGCTTGCTAATAAAATGGTCGGCACTCTGATACATTGATCTGATGCATAAATAACAATAAAATACAAGGTTTACTGTGACTAGGACTTATAGGCAAAAATAACAAACACGAAGAGAAAAACAGAACAATGATTTCTAAATTATAAAAACTAATATCTATCTCGTTTATCAGAATGCTCAATCTGTATATGGGTGACTTTTGGCCAAAACACCTTGTTCTGAAAGGAGGGTCAAATGGGATGTTGGAATACATAGTCCAACTAGTGGCAACAAGAAATTTAAATTTAGTTAATAAAAAGTAAACTTTGGTATAAACAACCTGATTCAATAATTCAAATCTTAAACGTATACGATATATCAATTATTTTTTTACGATTCTCCAATAACAACATCTCAAAGTGCTCTAACCTGGTTTCTTATGTTGGCAACTCGATTATTTGGTTATTTAGAGATGCCACTGAAGAAAAGTAGATGAAGAATAATATTTTTTTTATAGAACGGGGGGCAAACGGGCCGGAGGCTTTATAGAATAAAGCTAGATAGTTAGATATGGCTATGGCTCCAATAGACTACGCAAGCGACTTAGACGTAGTTTTAAGTGTCATCTGAGTAGCAGAGAGTCAGGCAAGGGCCTATATAGCCCTGTAATCATCAATGTCAGACCGCCCGTAAGCAGAAACGCCTTTGCGAAAATTCTTACTTATGAACATTTTTCATAGGATAACTGAATAATAATGTTTTACAGAAGTAAAAAAACCGTGTTTAAATTTAATATAAAGGTATCTCTTAAGAATATATTTACGGTCTTATTGTGACGTAATACGTGTAAAACTGAATGAATTAAACAATGTTTCTTGTACACGTAAGTGATAAGGACAAAAATATGTTTATGAATGAGGAGAATATAGTTTTTTTAATGTAATACGAGGCAAACGGACAGGATGGCCCATCTGATGTTAAATCTAATAAATAAAATTCTCGTGTCACAGTTTTCGTTGCCATACTCCTCCGAAACGGCTTGACCGATTCTCATGAAATTTTGTGTGCTTATTGTGTATGTCTGAGAATCGGACAACATCTATTTTTCATCCCCCTAAATATTAAGGGTAGTCCACCCCTAAATATTTTTTTTTTATTTTTAGATATTTTTTTCTGTTTTTATTTTTTTATGATACAACATTAAAAGATACATACAAACCCCTAACTTTCACCCCTCTACGATAAACTCCTATTTTTTATTATAAATGATATATATGGCAAAACGACGTTTGCCCGGTCAGCTAGTATAATGCAAAATGCAAGCCAATCAACGACCTCTCTAATACTATAGACCTTATAGCTGCGGGACTCAAAGAGAAAGCCTCCTTCAGTAATTTAACTAGGAGTGACGACTTTTGACATTTACTTAAACATTCTCTTTGAAAATCAAATGAGGAAGCATTTTAAATACTATGAAGAATATTCATGATAAAAATAAACTTAAAAGAACTCGAATAAAATTGCTCGTGGTTCGAAGAATTATGTACAACATCACAAGCTAAAATAAATATTTTCGTTCAGGAGAATGCGTTCATAAAACTTTTCATTTGGCCTCACGTTAGCAGTACAAGGCTTCATTTCGATACCCTTTTGTGCTTTTCTTTGTGAGAAAACACAAGAAAGTATTATTTGGGAACCCTACAATCAGCAGTGCCTTGTATTTTCTCGCTGACGTGGCTTCGAATATGAGTGTTAGGGTAACGTCGTGTCAACTTATTTTCCTACTTAAGACTTTATCAAATAATATTTATCGATGTCATAACCACATCGATTCAATTTGTTCGAAATAGATATTTTATAAATTTTGTGGTCCATAATTTTTTCGCTTGGGTGAAATGGGTATTTTGCGTAGGCGTTAAATTTTTTTTTGATAAAATAGATGTGTATTATTTTTATTTTCAGAATAATAAAACTAATATTTTTTCCAATTAGAAACTAAACAAAGATATTTATTTCTTCCAATTATAATTTACTATTACTTTTATTACACAAGTTGTTAATTATAAACTTATTATGAACTGCTAGTCAGTTCATTAGGAAGCACTGTGCTTGCTCACCTGTCTTGTTTAGCTTGAAACTAAGCGATAATCGTGATACTTGGAAATCACTACTATTACAATCTAGTAAATAATATCCATTTAAGTTACAATTGCGACGCTGAATATTGATTTATTTAAAATATTAACAAAAAATTCCAAAACTGATGAATTAGGCTCGTGTCCATTATTATAAAGAAAATGTTATTGTTATTTGTTATCAATAAAATTAATTAATTAATCTTGATGTGATTGAAAATGATAATCATGAAAGGATATTTATCTACAATTATGTAAATAAATTATTTGTGAATTGTATGTTTGTTTGTTTTATTTAGAAACTACGATACGAATAAATAATAATAATCCGACTAGGATGACTCGAAAAGTATTCATACACCGTTTTTTATTAAACTGAAAAATTTTGAATCAGATATCTAAAAACATCTAAACTGTTCTGTTAATTTGTAGATTTATTAATATTGGCAAATCTAATAAACAATATAACTGATTAGAACTAATTTGACTTTGATGTTATTAAACTGTAATGACAATGGCAGCTGACACTATCGCCATTGCTCCGATATTCATAATAATGATTGAAGTTATTATTACTACAGACTATCAAAAATTCTGTTAATTTTAGATTTATTAATATTGGCAAATCTAATAAACAATATAACTGATTTGAACTAATTTGACTTTGATGTTAGTAAATAATGAAAATGGCAGCCGATACCAACGCCATTGCTCCGAATGATATATATTAAGCATATAACTGACATCTGCTTCTATCTTATCACTAACAATTAACCTTGCACTTGCACACTGATTAATGTACGGACCAATGTATAAAAGGACAGTTTCTGATAGATATTTTTAGCCTAGCATTTGAAGCCATGAGGTTACTTATATTAATCAGTGGATTGATAACCATCAATAATGCTTCAAGAGAGTATGAGCCCTTAGTAAGAAACTATCATGGAGAAGTTGGTATCCCGGAAGCAGCGCGTATCAGGGCAGCAGAAGCGGCCATGAGCCCCAATAATGAAGCAGTGAAATACCCATACGTGGTGAGAATTTTATCGTTTATTACAATCATAAAATCTATCGCTATTTCTTAATAATATTTAGGTACTTATTACCTTAATTACTTTAAAGAACTAGATTAAACAAAAACAATTAAATGATTTCAAAACTGTCTGATTATGAATGAGAGTCATTTAATTATCTCCGTACTTATATTTTGTTTTAAATTCAAAAACATTCAAGCGTATAAAACTTAGCTCTGTATAATGCCCGTGAAGACCTTGGTAGATCCAGCGACTTGGGAATCAGCTTCGGGGTTCGGCTTTGATCAGTTTTAGTTAAATTCACATTTGCATTTCAAGTTCAAGTATCTTCTTCCTTTCGAACGCTCGCACAGTTCAGGTTTCAGATTTTAAACCGAGATATTACGATATTTCCAATAAAAAAGTTTGCAATAGCTTTATTATGGTGTCTTTGGTCTAGTTTAATAGTAAACTATGTATGTTCGTAGGTTGAACGAAGGAATATAAGAAATTTATTATTTATTATAATATTAAAATACCGTTCATATGTACCGCTACATCTAATTTTCACAATACCTACCAAATAAGACGCAGTCTATTTATCTTCTTTAGTATATATTTAATGATTTATACGTATTAGGCAGGTTTAATCATCAAGTTAACGAGTGGTGAGGAGTCCGTGTGCAGTGCCTCTCTTCTATCTAATACTATATTAGTGACAGCTGCTCGATGCTGGCGCACCAACTATCACCAAGGAGACACGATGACAGTTGTCCTTGGATCCAATTTCCTTTTTTCTGGTGGGGTTCGGGTCAACACCAATAATGTAGTAATACATCAACGCTACAATATGGACAAGCTAACACAAGACGCCGCGGCGGTCACCATAAATCATGTTGATTTTACTGGCAAGTTAATTAGTTTATTAAAAGATGTCGAACCGCAAAATTTAAATAATCAGGAAAGGAACGAGTAGCCTTACTACAAACAATGTCCTCAAAGCAACACAGTAGAAAGGAAAATAGAAGAGTTGAGCGGAAAAATTCTAGTTATTGCTAGGAACACTAGACGGTTAAAACATTTGTGATCGTCACCTAAAAATTACTAGTGTATAGGAATGTTCCAGAATACGTACGCTTTTCTAGTAAAAAAAGAACAGAATAAGATAAAGAAAGATCTAAACACGCTAGTGAAGTAAGAAATGCTGTTATAAAAATATAAACCTACGCGAAAGATTAGAAATATATTAATAAACAGACTCCTTAAGCAATTTAGTTTACTAAGAATATGGTGATGTTAATAAAATTGTTATACCTGTTACAGACAATATAAATGCAATACCGTTGGACTCAAGAATAAACCCTGATTTCTATGGAACGACAGCAACTATAGTCGGCTTTGGTACAATTGGAGCTGGTGAGTTAATGAGGCAATGTTTAATCATGATGTAAAACTTTTATACACGGCACGCAAGTTTTCTAGTTTATATCCCACTAAAGTATTAAGTATTATAAAGTACTATTAGTATTATTGCTATCAGATCTTCTATGCGTTAATTATTACGAAAACCAGCATATTATATGCTACATTTTCAGTATAATATTCTAATACTACACAGAGACAGTACACTCAATACAGTGAATCATATAATAATTTCGTAATGAATACCTTTGTTTTAATTAACGTAAACCTATATACTGGGTGGCGCAAAAGTACTGGCACTAAAGAAAAATTGTTTATTTTTTTATATGACATTTCCTGTCATTCTGTTGTTGAAAATTGTGTAGTGAACAAATGTAAATTCAATGAAAATAAACATGGACCGTTTTACTCCCCAAGAACGTGGAATAATCGTGTCAATGTTCGTGGGAACATCTTTAAGTCTTTCACCAAAATACGCTGCAGGGTCCGCCTGGAAATGCCCAATTGCGTGGCACGCCGCCTCGTTGATGTTTCTGGACACTCTTCCACATCTTCGCGCACAGCATCGATATTTTCAGCTGAACGAACAGGTATATCCACTGTTGAGCCAGTTGCTTCAAGGCGTGTGGCAAAGCGTCGGCTTGTGCGACCAATCGGTGCCGGACGGTGGGGAAATCGTCGACGAAATTCACGTTGTGTTTTTATCACTGATGAATTATTCCGTAAGAACATTGACACGATTATTCCACGTTCTTGGGGAGTAAAACGGTCCATGTTTATTTTCAGTGTATTTTACATTTGTTCACTACACAATTTTCAACAACAGAACGACAGGAAATGTCATATAAAAAAAATAAACAAATTTTCTTTAGTGCCAGTACTTTTGCGCCACCCAGTATAAGCAACCCAAAAAACCGCACTTTCTTCGCCAACGCTTTTTCTCCTTCCAAGGCCCTTTCATGTTTAACCACTTCCTTAAAAACAAAATTATCACAAAAATTTCAAAACTCACATTACATACTGATGCAGAAAATATTCTTGTAGTAATTATATATTAGTACTATGTAGAAATCATAAAGTAAAATACAGTTTATTCAAAAGGAATAGACTGGCTGCCCACAACACAGGGAATGCTAGTGTGGGGGCTAGTGCACTTTTTATTGTGTATAATAAAGTTTTTTATTTCTTTCTTTCTTTAATATTTAGATAAGGATCGAAAGTTTTCAATGAGGGATATTAAGGTCGAAATAATACATCAAAACCAATGCTACTCTGTATTTGGTTACATGAAAATAGTGGCTTCAGCGAATTGCGCAAAAAATGTCGTTGGTAACATTTCCTGTACTGGTGACACTGGAGGTCCTCTTATCATTGATAATATGTTGGTAAGTATATTTTACTCATATAGATCCTTTTAGCGACTTAACGGTCATGTTGAGGGTACAAATATTTTAAATGGCTTCTAGTACTGGGAAGGATGAATCGAGCAATACTCACGAGATGTTTTTAAATTTATATGTCAAATTTTGTTTAGAAATATGGGCATATAATAATAATTTATTGGCGCAACAACCCTTCATGGGTCCCGGCCTGGATTGTAAATTTTCTTTTAAATTTTTTAAGAAGTAGAAAACTGCTTTTGACACTCAATTAGCCTCATAGGATCTTGTCTTGTATATAAATAGCATTTCCTTCTTATATTTAATGTATTATGTAAGTCAGTGCAGAGCAGTGTTGGCCTAGTGCCTTCAGCGTGCGACTCTTATACCTGAGGTCGTAGGTTCGATCCCCGGCTGTGTACCAATGGACTTTCTTTCTATGTGCGCATTTAACATTTGCTCGAACGGTAGAGGAAAACATCGTGAGGAAACCGACATGTCTTAGACCCAAAAAGTCGACGGCTTGTCAGGCACTGGAGGCTGATCACCTACTTGCCTAGTAGATTTAAAAATGATCATGAAACAGATTCAGAAATCTGAAGCCAAGACCTAAAGAGGTTGCAGCTCCACTGATTATTATTATGTGAGTCAGTATATTATTGTTTCACTTTTGCCGTAAAGAAATATGTACTTACAGGCAATAAATCCTATTATTTTCTAATTATTAAAGGATTTATTCATAATTTATTCATTATTTTTTCAGGGCGGCATCGCATCTTTCACCGGACCTCAAGGTTGCGAACGTAATATACCCGTTGCCTATTACTTAATAGTTTACGCTGATTATTGGATTCGTCAATTCTTGTAGACTATTTAAAACTAGGAATTGAGTAAATTTCATTTTTGACTACAAAAATAACATCTTCTATCTAAAAATCTAACCGTTGGTTTAAATATAAATCATATTTGTATTATTTCAGAGAATAAATTAAATTTTGAGAATGTATTCAGAAAACTTTCGTCCATCAGAACATTTAAAGATCTATAGTGACAAATATCCTTGTTTTTATTAATAGCAAAGTTGAGACTTAACAGAACGCAAAGTAACTTCTAAAATTGAGCGTTGTTCGTGGATTATCTTAATTATATAAACCAGACGTTCATGAATATTTAACCGTCAAACTTCTCTAACTTAATTTCTATACTGTATTTGATGGTAACAACATCTCAATGTCATTTATAGCATTAAAATCTATGATTAAAATACATTTCTATTCAAAAAGTTAATGTTTCCGACAGAATATTTATAATAGACGGCGTTTTGGCTTTTTTCAAGATTTCATTTATTTATAAAAACACAATCCTGTTTTAACTGTTTTAACGAGGGTTGCCGATGGCTAGCCATGCGTCATACTCGTGAACGGGTGCTACTTGTGGTGACTGGTCGTACTTGAATTCGTGTATGCGGTGATGTTATTTCGACTATGTGTTTGCGTGTTGTTCCCACGAGAATGTAAGTGCGTGCTCCTATTTCACCATGCCTCCTGCTGATAGAGGACAAGTCTTTGTTTTTAATTTATGTTATTATTGTTAATTACTTAAAATGTTATGTGAAACATGGTGAATTAAAAAGAGTGGCGGACAGTTTATTGCCAGATCTTCTCTTCCGTTCTACGCCCTTGATTTGAGAACTGGCACTAAATGTAAAGTTAGAAGCTTTCATTTTTATATTAATTTTTTGACGTTCATAAGTGTACATTGTGTTACCTATATGATATAATGATTTTTGACTGGTGACTCACAGTTGACAAGGATGCATAACCATGTAAAACAATCAAGTAATTGATTAGGAAAAATGTTAAAGAATTACATAATTAAAAAATTTATTAATTTAGGCATTAACAAATAGTAGAACTTTTGAAGTGGTCTTACGGCGGACATCAGGGCTGACTTTATAAACATAATACTACATTTCAGTCAGTCTAATAGAGGACCATGAGCTAAGAATGAAACCAGTGTACAACAAATAAATAAAAACATATAAACATAAATTATAGTAATTTATTTAATTATTTAAACTTTGAGTTAAAAACGTCTATTTAAACCTTCGCCTGTTTTTGGGTTCAAAAATACCCGAAATCTAATCTTATTACAAAGAAAAGATTGAATAAAATTTTGAAAGCTCCCTACAGTGAAGTTAATGGATATTGGCATTTTAGCAAGGAGAATTCAGCAAATAATTCAGATTTTCTGTGAAACGCTCGAGTAATATCCGTCCCAAACGCTCCACTAGCGGTCCCGAACTCAAACGACTTTGTCGCCTGACTTTTATTGTACTCGATTTTTATCGCATAATTGAAAAATGAGCACTGTTTAATGTCAGACATTACAGTAATATATAATGATTATATTAATCAATGATAATTGTATTTTAATTTACATTGACACGACTAGCTATGAACCTTAAAAACTAAAGGATACCCAGATAAGCCTACTGTCCTATATTTAGGACAGTAGAAATAAAGAAAAATATCAGAATACCCTCTTTATCTAAGATTATTTAGTCTTATGATTTGCAGTAAGAAACGTGTCAGCTTTATTAGAAAAAATAAAAAGACAGTTATTTTAACAGTTTTTACCTTATATTTTGCCTTATAAGTGTGTAATAAAAGTGCGTTGCAGACATGGCAAATGACAGGTATGTATAAAAAGTTATATTTTACTCGTGAGTTGTTTTTTTCTGTGTTAATATCTAGTTGATAACCTTAACTTTTGTACTAAATAAATATTCTAGCAAAATAATATAAATAAATTACGTATAACTTGTTACAAATACTAGCGTACTATATATAGGACAGTAGGATAATATACATGATTTTAGTACAATAATACAACTTTTTCTTTACAGACCGTTAGCTGCGCATGAAATTTTAGATGCTTTAGAAAATGTTTCTGATAATGAAGAAGATTATAGAGAACGACTGATATGTATTCTACCTCCTCCTGTTGATCCTGACTGTCTCACTGACGAAGATTCGGGTGAAGAAGATAATGTAACTTTGAATAATTTGCCACGAAACATTCTGCTTCAACCGGCTGAAGTAATGATTCAAGGGCAGATTATGGTGAGTGATACAGAAGAAGAACCTTCTGATTCTACAGGTCGAACTAAACGTAGGCGTACCTACGCATGGAGAAAACGGGACTTGGCAAAAAATCCCGTGAATTGGCCAGATGTTCAAGGCGCTTGCCAAGATAAGCGCCCAATTGAGTGGTTTGAAAACTTCTTAGATGAAGATGTTATTTCGTTGTTGGTGTCAGAGAGCAATAAATATGCTGTCAAAAAGAATTTGCCTGGAGACATAACCACTGAAGATATGAAATGTTTCATCGGCATATTGTTGGTTAGTGGTTATTCATGGCTCCCCCGTAGAAGAATATATTGGGAAAACTCCCCTGATACAAAGAATGAATTGATCAGCTCGGCTATGACTAGGGATAGATTTGACTTTATTTTTCGCCACCTTCATGTCAATGATAATCTGGATTTGCAAGACAAATACACAAAAGTACGCCCCCTAGTTACACTTCTAAATAAAAAGTTCTTAGAGTTTTCTCCTCTTGAAGAGCATTACAGTGTAGATGAGGCCATGATCCCCTACTATGGTAGACATGGCTGCAAACAGCACATAAAAGGTAAACCTATTAGGTACGGGTTCAAAGCTTGGGTTGGTGCTACACGGTTAGGGTATGTTTTATGGATGGAACCATACCAAGGTGCTACAACTATGTGCAATCCAATATATAAAGAATTGGGGCTGGGTGCAAGCGTTGTTCTCACTTTTTGCGATGTGCTGATTTCACGTGGCTTCGACCTTCCTTACCACGTAGTTTTTGATAATTTTTTTACTGGGACGCCCTTGCTGGAAGAGATAACAAAGAAAGGCCTTCGTTGCACTGGGACAGTTCGAGAAAACAGGACATCTAGTTGTCCTCTGATTACATCGAAGTTACTGAAAAAAAAGGAACGTGGTGCTGTCGATTACAGAACGACACATGACAACACGTTCATTATTGCTAAATGGCATGACAATAATATATTCAGTATTGCTTCTAATGCTGTAGGAATAAATCCTAAACAATCTGCCAAACGCTTCTCACAAAGTGAAAAGAGAAACATTGTCATAGAAGAACCACATATGGTGTCCATCTATAACAAATATATGGGAGGAGTGGATCGGTCTGATGAAAATATTTCACATTACCGAATTGGTATACGAGGTAAGAAATGGTACATGCCGTTGCTCACACACATGATCGATCTTGCCGAACATAATGCATGGCAGTTATATAAAATAAATCATGGAAAACTGGATCATCTTGGCTTTTGCAGAAGGGTAGCAATTGCTTTGATTGAATCAAACAGAAAAAATGCCAAAAGAGGGCCTAGCCGACCCTCCCATCATGAACATGCTGATAGTCGTAAAGACCAAATGAATCATCTGGTTATTCCTCAATCGAAGCAAACACACTGTCGTCAATGTCACAAAGAATGTTTGACACGTTGCAAGAAATGTGATGTTGGAGTGTGTGTCAAGTGTTTTGAAACATATCATTCATAAATAGTGTTAATCTAGTAAATTACATATAACAATGGGTAATATAATCAATAGTTAAATGGTCTTTTATTTCCTCTTATTATCCTACTGTCCTACATATAGGACGGCTGTTTCCCTGAAAGCCTTACACTTAATTTTTTTTTTATAAGTTTTTTTATGTTGCATAAGATCTAATAAACTAAATAATGTAACTTTTTTCAAAATTTTCAGAAAATTTTAGTTTCAGGCTTATCTGGGTTAAGGCTTATATTTACATATATATATTATATAACTCAATCTGAGCAATTTTCTTTAACCTCTTATATATTGTTATCCGCCTTTTGGCTCTAATTAACATCGTCTATAAGGGTATAAGTAATTTTTTATATTAAAATTCTAATGTAATAACTATAATAGTAAAAAAACGACGGGTTGCACTCTGGGAGTGCCGGCAGAAGTGAAATCTTGAATATTATAGGCAGCGGCACGTAAGTCTAGCGCTGGCCGATACGTGGAGGGGATTGCTGCGCATGTGTACTGTCGCGCGGGGGACAGAATGCGACTGGAGAGCCAATCGACGTTACGCGCGGCCGCTAGCCCCCCTCAGGTACCTTATTTTTTACTTCTGCACAATAACGGTCAGCGCTAGAGTTTCGTGCCGCTACTTGTAACGATGTGCATTTTTGATATTTTGGAATGGTTAGGGAATAATTTTGCACGAATTGCTTTCATTATCAGTATAAAAGTACTATAATTTATGCAGTAGAATACAATATTTATTTATTGCGCTATCGTACACAAACATGATAATTTATATTACATTAAATACGCCACGCCTGCTGTCTACTCTCCATCCGCCTTACGAATTTTCGATCAGGTCACGTGTCCTGACGCGAGTTTAACATTTTTTACCCATTCCAAAAAAAGTGTACAACGCCGCTAAAGAAGTTTTCACTTCAAAAATGCACGGCTGGGGTACAAGCGCACGCTTAACCATCTTACACACTATCGATCATAATAATCTAAAAAGGTAAAATTCTGAAATATTAAAAAAGCTTTCGAAAAAGTTTAACCCCTAAGCTTAAATGATTGATTCCCATCACCAACTTTTCGAGTATCTAATGTTGTCTGAATAGTTTTGGCCGATACTTACGTACAGCAATTAATTATTTGATTTATATCGGTAATAAACAACTGAACTCGAACTTTATAAGTTCATGATCTTGATGCTAATACTTAAAACTGAAAAATTAATGAGTATGTAGTAAGT